GCTGGGTGCTCTCTGCAAGCTCGTCCTCCTCCTCCTCCTCCTCCCCATCCGCAGAATCCTCAGGTGTAGCTGATGAGACTATCCCCGACCCGGAATCCACGGTCACAGGTGGGGTAGTGGTGGCGGCCCCCCCTAGAATTGCATGCAGCTCGGCGTAGAAGCGGTATGTCCGCGGCTCTGACCCGGAGCGACCGTTTGCCTCCTTTGTTTTTTGATAGGCTTGTCTGAGCTCCTTGACTTTCACACGGCACTGATCTGAGTCCCTATTGTGGCCTCTCTCCATCATGCCCTTGGAGATTTTTTCAAAAGTTTTGGCATTTCGTCTTTTCGAACTAAGTTCTGCTAGCACTGAATCCTCTCCCCATATAGCGATCAGATCCAGTACCTCCCGTACGGTCCATGCCGGTGCTCTTTTTCGATTATCGGCCTGCATGGTTACCTGTGCTGATGAGCTGAGCTATCTGTGGTCACCTGTGCTCTCCACACTGGACAAACAGGAAATGAAATTCAAATTTTCCTGGGGCTTTTCCTGTCTACCTGGCCAGTGCATGCGAGTTCAGACTGCTGTCCAGAGCGGTCACAATGGTGCACTCTGGGACAGCTCCCGGAGGCCAATACCATCGAATTGCGGCCACACTAACCCTAATTCGAATTGACAAAATCAATTTTAGCGCTATTCCGCTCGTCGGGCTGGAGTACAGAAATCGATTTTAAGAGCCCTTTATTTTGAAATAAATGGCTCCGTTGTGTGGACGGGTGCAGGGTTAATTCGAATTAACGCTGCCAAATCCGAATCAAAGTAATAGTGTAGACCAGGCCTTTGAATAACCACTCATTAGCACATTTGTTGAAAATATTTTTCTCCTGAGGTTTAGCTTATTTTATATGTAATTACTTACAATCACTATTGATATGTTATAGTTGTATTTTGTACACACACGGGAGTATTGATAATACTATGTTTAATTAAAAATACAGCTTTTCCCCTAACAATTTTGTTCTCTTGCATTTTCAATTAACAAGCTTATTTTTGTTTATGTCTCAGTATCAATGGAGAATTAATCCTTAGGAAATATGTTATTTTTAGAGTTCTCAGATTAAAAGAATACTAAGAATTGTTACATTTTGGGTTTAAGTTACGCTGTGTGTTACTTTCTTAAATACCTTTATTACTACTATTATATCAATTGTCAACAAAAAACAATCTAGATTTTTAAAATAAGCAAACACTAATCTCACTAATTCTGCAAAGAACACTAGATCAACATTAATTAATGAATTTTAATTCTCATCTTATTCTTTATGAATGCAACCACAAAATATAACAAAACATTGTATTTTTTTAACTGCTCTTTATTTATACAGAGTAGCAGTATTCCAAAGAATTCATGAGAGAATCAGGAATGAAACTCCACAATCTTCCACCCAAAGATTTGAGAAGTGTTCTCTCACACAGTGATCTCTACCACATTGTAATGCCGGCAAATAATAATAGCCAAATTCTGGTAGACATAAGCATAGTGTTCTGCACCCACAAAACATAAGTGCTCATATACACTGCAAAAAGCAGCCCGATGCACAGATTCCTCACACCATCTATTCCTAAACCATGCTGGAAGGGCTGTGTGTATAACTGCTGCCGGATTAGGAAGCACACGTGATTTAATATGTAGTTTATACAACCTGGTCCCCAGTCCCATAACGACTCTCCTGTCAGAGGCACATTGGAGTGGCATTTCAACTTCTGGAGTGGTAACCAGCTTCCAGCCCATTATCTCACTGGATGTGGGTTTCTTGAGTATGCCTATGTTCAGCACAAACTAGAATTCTGCTCATTAAGGTCCCTATCCTACAACTATTAAATAAGTGATTAACTTTACACATGAATAGATCCATTGAGGTCAATGGGACTACTCACATGTGTAAAGTAATATATGTATGCAAGTGTCTGCAGGATCAGGGCTTAGTCTTCTACAGATTCAAAACTTGAAACTAAAATCTACCTACCTTTATTTGACCACGGCTTGGTATAAAAACTTTTCCTAAAGCTGGAATAGGTAGTTGTGGAGCCACGCTCAAAGATCGGATCATTTTCTTCTACGACACATGACCCTTTTGTCCTTAAAACTTCTACAGTTAAACTGAAAAGAAGAAAGCAACCCAGGAATGGTCAGACATCAGAAATATCATTAGGGGCAATAAAAACCTGGAGAACCACATTTTATGTCTGTTGAGAACCTGAGAATTAAGACTCTTCCTGCCATACTGCAAGTTCACATCAATTTAACTATGTTTCACTACCATGCCAATATCTCTCTATTATATGAATTAGAGAATATTGGGAATTGATATTAACCTAGTTAAATTACGTAACAGTAGAACCTCAGAGTTACGAACAGCAGTCAAACAAACTGACCAGTCAACCAGACCCCTCATTTAGAACCAGAAGTACATAATCAGGCAGCAGAGACCACCAAAAAAAAAAAAAAAGCAAATACAGTACAGTACTGCATTAAATGTAAACTATTAAAAAAATAAAGGGAAAGTTTAAAAAAGACTTGACAAGGTAAGGAAACTGTTTGTGCTTAATTTAAATTAAGATGGTTAAAAGCAGCATTGTTCTTCTGCAGTAAAGTTTCAAAGCTGTATTAATCAACGTTCAGTTGTAAACTTTTGAAAAAACAACCACAACGTTTTGTTCAGAGTTATGAACATTTCAGAGTTACGAACAACCTCCATTCCCAAGGGGTTCATAACTCCGAGGTTCTACTCTAATTACATTCACTCTAACATTTTAGAAATATGGAACACATATACATTAAGTAAAATGTAATGAAGAGTCCAATGTCTCAAATTTGTTTGTCCAATTAGTCTTAAACTTTCCAAGAAAACTCTTTTGCAAGGTCACGTATGGGAAATTCTTCATTTCTTTTTTACTGTTCCAAATTCCTCTTCCAGGACATCCCTAAGCTCCCGTAATAACTCAAATCCTGACCCTGTAATGATGCATTGTGTATAGCCCTAATTTGCTATCCAACACAGAATTAAATCAGGGGTGGGCAAACTTTTTGGCCTGAGGGCGACATTGGGGTTCCAAAACTGTATGGAGGGCCGGGTAGGGAAGGCTGTGCCTCCCCAAACAGCCTGGCCCCCACCCCCTATCCACACCCAACTGCCCCCCTCAGAATCCCCAACCCATCCAACCCTCTCTGCTCCTTGTCCCCTGACCGCCCCCTCCTGGGAACCCCTGCCCCTAACTGCCCCTCCCCGGACCTCACCCCAATCCCCCCTACTCCCTGTAACCTGACTGCCCTGACCTCTATCCACACCCCCACACCCTGACAGGGCGCCCGGGACTTTCACGCCTATCCAACCGTCCCGTTCCCCATCCCCAGAACCTTCGCCCCATCCAACCACTCCCTACTCCCTGTCCCCTGACTGCCCCCCGGGACCCCATGCCCCTTATCCAAACCCCCTCTCCCCGCCCCCTTACCATGCTGCTCAGAGCATCAGGACTGGCAGCCACGCCGCCCAGCCGGAGCCAGCCATGCCGCCGCGCTGCCGGCAGGAGCTTGCAGCCCTGTCACCCAGAGTGCTGGTGGCACGGGGGCTACGGGGGAGGAGGTGCCAGGGGCTAGCCTCCCCAGCCAGGAGCTCAAGGGCTGGGCAGGACAGTCCTGCGGGCCACAGTTTGCCCACCTCTGAACTAAATTCTAAGGTATTATGTAAAATTATGAAGCCAGATAGTTAACTCGATTAGCAGGAGTTACATTGTTAACCACTCTGGAAACCAGATAGTAATTCATCAGACACACATAGCACAGGAGTCAGTTGCAGAATATCAGTTACCTTTCTTCATCCAGAATAATTGTACCATCTTCTGCTACTTTCACTCGAGGAACTAGAAGAGGACCATCATTCTCCTCCCCTTCCTCTGGCTCAGTCTCAGCCTCCTCATCTTCATGATCAGGAGCACGTATCTCTTCTGGTCTACAATTTTGAAAGATTAACACTTCAGCACATACACACAAGTAACATTTTCTTCTGGTCGCTATGTATCTGCTAGATTACCCCATACATTATTCAGTCACCTAGCTAAAACCCCCACAATTTTATAGATCTTCAGATTAATGTTTTATCAGTTATATTTTGATATATGAAAATGTCAATTGGCTGGATGCATGTAAAATTAACACCAAACATGATGTTAACTGGCTGCAACAATAACTTTCCTTGAATTACAAGTACTCCCTGTCATAATAAAGATTAAAAAAAACACAAATGTAACATGATCAACCTATTACCATGAATAACAAGATACTCATCACAGCTAACCTGTGTCAGGAAATCTGAGTGAACAGATTGATTTCTACATTCTGCTCCTGGACAATTTATCTAATGACTACCATTTCTCCTCCATCTTCCTGCCATCTAAAATAATTCGTTTAAAACAAAGGAATAAATTTATCACAACAGTAAGTTAGGAACAAGACAATCCCTTCTGCATTACAGATACATAAAATGTACTTCTTTTCCAACAAAAGGCATTTTGACGTTAAGTATCAGAGACACAAAGACTTACTCTTTCATTTGGACCTGTGTAGAAGTCTTCTCAGTTTTCTTTTCTTCCGCCAGCGAAGACCTATTAATGAATATTAGAGATATGACAATATTCACTGATACATAGATTTACATTAACAGAAAAAAAAAAAACCAACCCCAAAATCTGTTCTAAATCTGAAGGCAAAACATCTTTGCTAGGGCACTCTCTTTATATCATGCTAGTGCATCATCTAATTTCACAATCTGTATATACTGCTAAGTGACTTGAGCAACTTAAGGTTCTAGAAATGAATAGTTCAGGAGAATTAGTAATGGGATAGAGAACCTGTTGTCACTTCACATCACCTGACTTTACATCATCTGTCCGAATCCATTACATAATATCGTAGTACTATGCTAAAATGCAATAGGGTATTTAGTTCGTGCTAGCAAGATCTATATAGACCTATTACTGTGGAACTTGTTAGTGAGCATTAGAAATCATATCCATGTAGCACACACTGCTGCTCCATGAAGAGATACCATGAGTTCTTTGATCTCAGACCAGTTACCAGTGGACAGCTAACAGTGCCACTGCTACCACCAACACAATTGGCAACAATGTTAGCAAGGCAAGCAGAAATGCCAAACTTCCAATGGACACAGAAAATGAACTACCTACCCTACTACTCCTAAAGCTAGTCCTTCCAGGTAGGGATTATATTGCCAGAGGTTTGACACATTATTTTTGTGCCTTGTTCCACACTACACATGATTAAGGATACAATTTAGTCATGGAGGTCATGGATTCTGTGACTTCACTGGACCACCACGACTTCGGCTTAGCTGTCAGCAGCACGGCCGGAGGCGTGCACCCCACTCCGTCCCCCATGGCCGGAGCCAGGGCAGTGTGCCCAACCCCTTCGGCTTCAACAGATTCCAGAGGCATTGTTGCATGTACCCACCCCACGGCTTCAGCAGGGTTGGGAGCTGGGAGCTGTGCCCCCATGATGATGGGGCTAGAGCTGTTAGTCCCCACAATGGGAATCCAGGTGTCATTCCTTCCCCTCCTCGCCCAGCCCTCTTTCCCCCCCATTATTTTTAGTAAAAGATATGGACAGATCAGGGCTCCCATAAATTTTTGTTTATTGCTCATGACTTGTACGTGACTTTTACTAAAAATAACCATGACAAAATCTTAACCTTACTTATGATAAGTTGATAGCTTACGGTCACTACCCTCTCAAGACACACCTCCGCCATGATGCCTATTAAAAAAAGTCAGCCAACTTATGATGGCTACATTGAAGAGCAGCTAATATTTAATCTACAATTGGGAAAAATTCAAGTGTATGTTCATGTATACACACAGATTTGATTATATCATACTTCACTTATTACTTGTCTATATACATTGAAATACTTCAGGGTATGGACTGTGTCTCCATATGTTTGTACAGAACTTAACATGAGAGACTAATCCCAATTGCAATACAAATACCAAGTAATAGTGATACAGCATTCAGAAGCTTACATTGCCACTGTCCATGCTTTACCTGTTCTATGGATAAACAGGACTTCCGTATCCAGGGCTGTCAGTATAATACATTTCACAAGGATTAAAATTAGTATACACAGACAAAAACAATTTACTGTTAAGAGAACTGTACTTACTTCATAGGATTGTTTTCTGGCAGGTAGTATATCAAGTCTCTCATAGTCATTTTGGAATGATCTGGTGGAGTTTTCCCTTCAATTACTGTTGGTCTATTTTTCCATCTTTTCTACATACCAAAGATACGTTTATTTAGCTTTTTCTTTACTCACACACTATATAAAAATAAATATTTATTTTTATATGTGCCTGGCCTAATTTTTCTCTAACATTATAGTAGCTTTTTGATTTTTACAGTGTACATTTCTCAAAGACATCATCAACCTTAATTGATCTGGGTTTTCAAGAGACCTCAATGCTCTGTGTGGGTATGAGTGTGTAGACCCAGAAGCCAAGACACACTGAATGCATGGTCTAGTATCAGAGCTAAAAGGACTGAGGTGTGTCAAACCAAGGAGCGTGAGACACTTTAGATATTTTATCTTTGCCTAATTCAAAATAAAACAAATAGTGAACTTGCACAGGATTGCAACTGTTGGGTTTTCATATAAATGATGAATTCAACTTCTAAAAATGAACACTGTCAATTAAAAATAGATAAAAATAGTTTCAGAAACTATGAATGCTCCTGAACTCCCTGTCATTTTGTGTGGCTTTTTTAAAAGTAGTATTATTGTTGTTGGCAGGGAGATTAAGGACCTGTTATAGTACATGAAACCACTTTTCTTTTTTTAAATTGACTAATTTTCAAGTTGACTTATCCACCGAAAGGAAAGCTGCTGCCTCTTTTCCTTCTCATATGTACCTTCTCTATTGATATATACAAATCTCTTACATTGTGCTGCTGAATTCAATTTTCATTAGAATCTCATGAGGTTTAATAGTTAAGTGTTTTAACATCCCTATAAGATTGCTCTACTATAAAATGGTGGATATTGGTTAACAGAATAATAATAGTGAAGTGAGCTGTCCAAGGTAACAGAACTGAGTCAATAACAAAGCTGAGTACAGAACACAAGACTCCCAACTCTCAGCTCCCCCACTGTATTTACCAATGATAAAAATACATAGTTAAAATAATAAGCATTCTGGCTGGCATGTTAGCAGGAGTATTATTATGTCACATAAAGGTCCACTAGTAGAATCACACCACGACCAAAAATAAATAAGTAAATCCTTTTTATACAAAAGAACACTCACTCCTGTGATAGGACAAGAGCTACTAAACCCCATCGTAGGCTGCCAGCATTATGCTGCTGACATCATAGTTACTGTAAATTACATACTGGAATTGACCCACAGGGATCAGGCAAATGTTGATTCCCTTTTTTGTGTCCTCTCTGCCCAAAATTCCCAAAGCAGGACCTTACCATCCTCTCTTTCTTAAGCTCTTCTTTGAGCATCTCTCTTAACTTCTGAGCTTTGAGGATTCTTTCACGGTCTGAGCATTTTTGTTTATCTTTTGTTAGCGGGGATTTTTTATGTGGCATTTCCTCTTGTGTGGTTCTTCCTTGGGTGGGTCTCTCCTTGAGAGGGCAGAGTGTGTTCTTCTGGAGGATTTCATCATTTTTGAGAGCAGTTACACCCACATTTGGCTCTTTGCTCACTGATTTTTTAAGTGGGGAAAACTGTGGCACTTGTGGGACAGGTGTTTTCTTTTCAGGCAGTATCGGAGACTTTGGGGAGCTTTCTGTATTAATCTTCTCTGATGGATAGGATTCCTTCTGAAGTGAAGAGTTACCATTAGTAACAGACTGAGGTACTAGTTTTTGAGAAGACTTTGATACTGAACGTTGTGCAGATGGAAGTGTAACTCTGGGTTTTGCCAGATTAGGCATAGTGGATATTCGTTTTCTTCTCTGTAAAGGTGTATCTGCAGGTTTCCTAGCTTCTCCATCATCATTTGCACAACCAGTCCTTTCATCTCTGTGGAAAATTAAAACAAATATCTTACCCTGAAATCCCTTACAATGACAGTTTTGCTACTTTTAAAATTGCATTGAGGGGAGCACATCTAAAGCCTAAATATAGTACTAAAAAAAGTGTATTACTCTGAGAACCTTATCCAAGAACCCATACTTAACCAAACCAAGACATATTGAATGGTGCCTCGTAAATTATGTAAAATATTGATTCTTATGTCCAAAAATCAAAATGTTAACAAGTTTTTAGCAATAGTGATTAACATTTAAGTATTCAGACTGTTTTTTTAATGAAATGCTCTTTACCTTCAATCTCAACGCACACTCATAGATCACCAGATAATAAAATAGTTTATGCATAAAATTAAAATTGTATAAAAAAATTTAATAAACTCAGATGTAACAACAATGTGTCAGGAAGGTGTCAGGAAAAAGGCTTAATTTAAATTCCTCTGAAGTCTCATAGATTTTAAGTATTTGCAACTCAAAAATTCCTCAAGTATGTGTAACTCCTTAAAAACCAGAGTGAAACTGACAAAAGTTTCACAATCTATGCTAAGTGTACAAAAAGTCAGCAGCCCTTTCCTAGGTGAGTACAGTACTATTAGTTTCTACAGGATGTCAATCTTGGTTTAAAATTAAACTAAGGTTCTAACACTTAAGGTTGCAAAGACAATATTCCCAGCATGAACCTAGTGCAAACCAATGCACTGTTGTCTTCCTAACTCTGCAGGCCACTCCAGTGCCTCAACTGCTGATCATTGCTTCGTCAAGATACAGCAGAGGGGAACTGCAAAGATTTTTTTAAAAATGAGGATTGTGCTTTTTTTTTTTTGGTTCTGCATGATATATAAAAAAGGCCTGGAAAGTCAGTCCCTGGTTGTAGTTTTAACTTTCAAAGTATCAGGAATGTCAAGTCTGAATAAAATAAAACCCCAAAAAATGTCAGGTATATTTTTCAAGCTCTGTGGTAAAGTCATGTAGACATTTTAAAATGGACACAGTACTAAGTGACATTTAATGATTTTAATATGGACTGTTTCTTTAATTCTAGGTGTAAATCCAAGAAAGTGTTGCCCATTCTAATTAATAGATATCCACCCAAACTTTGGTACCAAAAGCAACAACAAAAAAACCTGTTTGCTGCTGCTGTTTTTTTAATGGCACCCCTCAAATGTCAGTGTTACACAACTAGGAGTGGTATACTTTCCTTGAGTTGTGTTCTGAAGACCTCCACCATTGATTTCAATGAGAACTGTGCAAATCAAGGTAATATCTGGTCCCAAAGTGAATCATTATTATAATGGTTTTTCTTAGTATTTGCTCTAGTGTCCTAAGGTGTTACAGAAAACCAGATATGACAACTTCCTAGGTGCTACTGCAGTAAAATAGTAGATTAATAATAATAGAAAAAGGTCTGCACTGATAAAAAAATTATTCAGTCCTAGGGAAATCAATACTAAACTTCCAAGTACTAACTTCAACCATAAATATTAAACGTATGGCCCGATCCAGAATTGTTTTCCACCTAGGAGAACCCCTGCCCCTAGGCAGGGATCAATTTATTTCAATGGAGGCTCCTCCACGTGAGGCTTATTGCAGGATTGGGGACTATAACAAAATAAGAATAATTATGTACAAAAAATACCTATATAGCCATTTATTTCTAAACCAAGGGCTGGCACTTGTTGCATTCTTGGTTATCTTAGATCTAGCAAATAGTGCCTTCTCATCCTGCAGTAATATGTACTTTGCAACTTCAAACACGGCCAACGAGGGAACAATCCTCAGACTGGAAAAATACCTCCTGAAAAAAAGGGAGACAGGCACGGAGAAGGCATTGGACACCTGACAGCTTCCAAGCACGGTGCGTGCAGCTGCGGTGTGAGGGACAGTGCAGAGCGCAAGGGCAGGTAGGCTGCTGGCCATGATGGTAACCAGACAGCTCCCAAAGCTTTCCAGGCACCTGAGAACCTGTACAGGACTGAGACCTCCAAGCAGCGCCCTCCCGGCGGTTGCTGGTCCTGCTCCCCCAGGTTGCACGGAGCTGGGGCTGCTCCTGACAGCGAGACTTGCCCAGCGGCGGCTTGGTGGGGCTAGAGCCGCGCAGAGCCCAGTACAGATCGCGAGCTACAGGACTCACCTGTTCCCCTGTTGTCCCCCCTCTGGCGGGGGGGCCGGGCGGGGACCGGCAGCAGCTCCGGGAGAGGCTGTCGCGCTGGGCTGCGGCTCTTGCCTTGCCGGCAGGGAGGCAGAATCCTGGCCGCGCTGCGGCTCCGGGGCCGCCGGGGCGCTCGGGCCGCCGCCCCTACCCACGGGCCTCACATTGGGCTTCACGCTGAGCCTGGCTCGGCGGAACATGTTGCCGGGCTGCTCCCCCGTTCCCCTCGCTCAGGCGGGGGAGGAAAGAGCTCGGTCCGGCCCCTGGGAGCGGCGAGGGGGGGTCACTCCCGCGCGGCCAGGGAAGCGCTAGAGCCGAGTGTCCCGCCTCCGGCGCCGCCGCCTCATGTCACTTGCCGCACACCGGGTTCGGGTCCCCCTCCCCGCCGTGCCCAGGGTCTGGTGCGGCCAAACGTCATCAGCCTGCGACCGGTCGCAGCGGGGAAACACGTTCACACGTGACGCATCAGAAGGCGGGATAACTAGCGGAGATTGCGGCCAAAGTGACGGAGAGCCGGAGGGGACGTAGAGTGCTGCGTATCGCGAGTCCACGGCTCACAGGGTGTGGGCTGTTTGTTACAGCCCCCCCCCCCCCCCCGACGTGCCTGGGGGTCTGTGATTGATGTGAGAATCTGAGTTTTCCTTTCAAAAAGTTATGTTTCTAGCCTTTGTGTTTACAGAGTTGAAAAAGCTCATACAAGAAAGCGCTTCCAAAATGCATATTTTTTTAAATCTCATTTGTAAGCAAGTCTTCTGATTTTGGGAGGAGGGAGGGGGTTCTTATTCAGGGTTTTCAAGTTCTTGCAGTTGACCTTATTCCTGAGGGAATTCTGTGCCAAAAAAAAATAAAAATTCTGTGCACAGTATTCTAAAGTCCTGCAAATTTTATTCATCAGTAAATGTGGAGGCTCCGGTGTGGCAGTAGAAAGCACAGGCCACTGGCTGCATGGAGGTGGGACATCACCCTGCAGCCCCCCGCCCCTCCTTGACATGGATTTAGTGGTGAGCCTGCACCTGAAGCTGACAGCACAAGGGCTGGGCCTGCCCCAGAAACATCCTGGGGGCTCTGCACCATGCACACCAGGAATGGGGAGTCAGTCTAAGTCCACCAGGATGCAAGTGTGGACAGGTTTAGCATGAGCGGATCTAGATGGGGGGGGGGTGAATCTGGATGCACGTGGCCTTGTTGGGGGGTTCCATTTGCAGAGGGAGTCCAGGTGAAGGTGGTTGGGGCTCAGCAGGGGAGGTGGCTTTGGGGGCTGAGATGGGGAGTCTGGGTGCTGGTGGGAGGGCTTAATGGGATGGGGGTCCAGGTGCTGGTGGGAGGGCTTAATGGGATGGGGGTCCAGGTGCGGAGGGCTCAGTGAGAGTTGGTCTGGATGCAGGGGTGGGATTGAGGTGCAGAGGGAGCTCAGCAGGGGGGACTCGTAGGGGGATCTAGATACATGGAGGCTCTGGATGCAGGGAGAGAGGCTCGGCAGGGTGGGGGTTCAGGTGCACGGGGTTGGACGGATGGGGAAGCACCTACTCCCACGGCTGAGGAGTGATGGGGGCAGGAAGCGAAGATGGGGAGGGTGCAGAGCGTTCTGCAGCCAGGGGAGGTTCCTGGGGCTGGGGGTGACTCAGCTCCAGCTGCTCTTTGCAGGGGAAGAGAAAGTCCTGGCTGGCCTCAACCCCAGCCCATCCAGGACTAGCAGCTGAACCCAGTGCAGGGTAGGAGCCACTGGCTGGGCCATCTCCAACGCTCCCCACTCCCTGCCATTTACCTCTCTGCTGGCTGCTCTGAGCACCCAAAACAATGTGCCTGTGTTGCTGGGGGTGGGGGGAGGGGGGCGCATGACCGCTCTTGTGGCTTCCCTTTGCTTCCACATGAGAAAGTTATTTTTTCTGTGGGGAAGCAAAGAAATCTGCAGGGCATGAATTCTGCGTGCCCACAGTTGCAGGACGCCCGCAGAGGTAGGTGCTAATGCGGCTGCAAGTGGCCCATTCCCCCCGCCGGGAGCAATAGTGTAAAAAAAATTGGGGGGCATTACTTTTTGGCACCCTAGGCGGCCGCCTAGTTCAACTAGTGGTTACACCGGCCCTGCATATAAGTAAAGTCCTGCACCCACGTGGAACTTTTTGCTGCTTGAGGACCATAATTGTTGTGACAGTCTTAATACTGCAGTCAATAAATAAGATTTTCTGTAGTTTGGAATTACTTTTATTTATTTGTATTACAGTCATGTACACAGGCCTCAGTCAGGTTCAGGGCACCATTGTGACAGGCATTCTGCACATATAGGCCTCGTTCTTGCTATGAGCTCTGCATGGACATACTCTGGCAACTACACAGAGTTCATTGGGGCCATAATAAGAGATAGTCCCTGCACCCAAATACTTTATAATTTTACATCTTGAGCTTGCAATAAGATCCATGCAGGCAGTCTCTTGTGTCCATGCAGAGCCCCATTGCCTTCATGATTTCAGTTAGTAACAAGTATCTGCTGGTGCAAAGCTCATTGAACAGCATAGATGTTAATCCTGCAAATGCTTAAGCACTTATTTATTTAATTTTACTCATGTGAGCAGTCCCATTGCTTTGATTGAGACTACTCACATTAGTGAAATTAATCATGTGCCTAAATGTTTATACATTTGGGACCTAAAGTACCAACTTTACAATTAAATCTGTGTAGGAATGGCAGACCCTTCTGCCTGTGCACAGAAACTAAAGGGGTGCTGCATAGTTTTAAGGATTTGCCTGCACAGATCTGATTACAAGGTGAGGACCGCAGTTTTTCATATTCTAATAACTCAAAAACAGCTTAATTAATTTTGTACTAAATTTCTAAAATAATGGTAAATCCAAGAGCTGAGAATCAAGCAGATGACAGTTCAGCCCAGAGAGACATTATAATTTGCAATGATGTAAGTGGGGCTTCTGGTTTATGAAGTTTAGTTTTTCGGCCTTTGCTATTTAGTTTTAGATAAATTATATTACCTTTTTAAGGATTAAATGTGATTTTAAAATATTGTTTTTCTCAAATTTAACAAAAATGACCTCCTCTGAAACTCTGAATTCCTGGCTGTGAGTTCTCATTTAGCATGTGAGGACCGGACCTGGTACTGTTACAGCACCATAATGTTCTACATTGCAAGAAGAGTAAATATTGGTCACTTCCAGTTTACATTTTAGAGATTTACCATCACTCACCATTTTATCTTGACTATTGCAATATTTAGTGTGTTTTTTAAGCCCGAGTACCTGGAATTCTGTGATTATATGAAGAATCACAGTTTTAATTTTTTTAAAAGCCTTCATGGTTGAAGAGAAAAATTTGAAAAGAGGACCCAAGTGTTCCCTAAAAGGCGCAAAACAGCTCTATTTGCTTTCTGGTTTTTGAGAATTTAGGGTGCCCTGGGATCATATTTTCACGCTTTTCTATGCCATCAGGCAGGACAAAAACCTGCTTCCAAAACAGAAAAGTTGTGGCTTTCAGATAGTCATGTGACGTTACTGCCTCCCGGAATTTGGAGGAAGGGGTAAGAAACCACACCAAATATTCTGAAACTTCGACGCAGCCTTAAATATCGTGAGAACGCTGATTTCCACAACCGGAGGGAAACAGATATAACTTAGAGAATTTTTCACTTGACCAGAGCTTCAGAGTCACAGCAGCCCGGACATGCTGCTAACTGAGCATGCGCAATGTTGACGACCCCCGCTCAGAGGCTCCGACTAATTCTAATCTTGGTGGGGGTGGTTTGGTGACGCTTGCATATTTGTGACGTCACAGAGACGGTCAGTATATAAACCACGTCTGGGGTGGGGGCGCCGAGGGGGAGGTAGAAGAAGGTTCTGGCAGTTGCTGGGGCGCTTGGGAGAAGTAGTCGCGGCTCAGGTTTGGTGCGTCCCGCCCGGGATATTGTCTCGCTATGGCCCGTGAGTATCAACCTGAGTGTCCCCGCCCTGTCCGTAACGGCTCTGCCGACTCCGCGCCGTCGCTGGCCGCTGTCGGGCCTAGGTGATAGAGCCGCGGCCCCCGCGGAGGGCTGTGAGAGCGGCGCATGCCCCCTTCTCGCTGGCTCTGGGTCGGGCCCGGTTCCAGCACGATGGTGGCTGGTCCCGGTAATTCAGGCTCCAGGCGCCTCTTTTCCGCTCCGATCGCCGCACCCGGCCCGGCAGCGCCGCTTCCCTGCCGAGCTGTGCAGGCCCCGGGGCCCGTGAGCCCTGTAGGCTTCCTCCGAGCCGGCGCCATAGTGGCCCCACCCGGCCTCTGACTGCAGGAGCGGCCTCCAGGGTAACGAGCGGTTGTGCGGAGCGTCCCCCAGGAAGGGGCCCGGCGGGGGATTAACGCGGCGGGCGGGACTCGGGTATCTCGGGCAGTCGTACTGCGACCTCGCTCCTTGGTGACTCCTTTTCTTGCCTGTAAAACTGGGTATTTCTGGAGCGAAACCTCAGTGGCTATAAACATGGGCCCTGTTTTGAGCCGGGTCCCCAAAGGGTGGCCCTAAAGCCAGCCTTAAAAACGTGGGCAACTCGGAACAAAGCAGAGTCTCCTGGGTAGTCTTTGCAGGGCTGTTTGTGATGAGTTGCTGATCAGTCAGGCCGGCAGCTCAACGTTTCGTTGTTGGCTGTCAGGCTACAAATAAAATGCCCTTAAATGGCCCCTGAACATCTAATCCCACCATACTGAATTTACCACTGCCAGACTGTGCCCTCCCTATTTATGTACATAACTAAAAAATAAGCCAATAATGTTAACTGCAGCAGTACAGTGAGGTGTTGCAGGAACCCATGTTGCTCAAAGTCTGATGTTGGGGGTTTAATGCCACTTGACTATATTAATGGCAAAAAATTAAGAGGAAACCTCACAGTAGTAGTCAGAGATGTTCATTACTACAGTTTTCTCAAACTCTAGAGCAGCTTCTTCATTTCTCCTGGCAACAAACTAATCTTCAGCATTACTGAAGTTGTCTGTTTTTGTAGCTCAATTTGGGAGATGGTCTAAATTCAGCTTAGAGTTTCTAAACATACAGCTGAAATTCACTGTAGTGATCCACATTCAAGGAAGAACTGGGTAATTAAGAACTCAACTTCCTCACACAAGTGCCCTCCAGCCTGAAAGGGAAGTTGCAGGCTTATGCAATCAGTGATACAGCTGTCTCAATCTACTTATGAAGAGGTACTGTATAGTATGCACAACTTGAGGTCAAAAAGGGGCATGGATGATGTGTTCTGTACCCCTGACATCCTCAAATCAAAAGTACTTGCTAATACATGAACATGGGCATTGGTACACTTCCCCCTTATCTATTTCAAAATAGTAATTGAAGAGGCAGAGCAGGCTTGGAGATCTTTCTGCTACACTGACCAGTCCTCATTTTCATTATATAGTGAACTTCCAGGTTTAGCATCCTGGTACATGTAAAACTTGTAGTACATGATCATCAGACT